CAAGAATTGCCATTGCACCCTTCATCCAGACAACACTATTAAGAGTCTCTTTGGGTTTTTCTTCAACATGGTTAAGCCCATAAAATCATTCAGGGGAGAACACAAAACAACTCTCGGTACAGGAACAGTGCTTTTACCAAGCTTCTCAATCCTTATTGGGAGAAGTAGTTTTGGCTTCTCTCTTTTTCGATATGGGAATGTGGAGATTCAAAGAGTTTAGCTCAGTAAGTAGAATGACTCTTACCAAGTTAGGAATTGAGGACTATTTTCATATTTCCACGTTAAAACGCCTTTCTCTATTAGTAATGTTATAACCGGCATTGAAAGATTCTCGGAAAGGCTCGCGCCATCCTGTCTGAGTGAATTAATCGGAGTCTTCAAGGAGGCGGATGTTCACGATCTCCTCTTGAATTATTACGTTCATTCAAGAGATTTCAAACAGTTTACATTTTCTTGGTTCTTTGCAGAAACAAAATATTGACATGGGACGTGTTACAGCCATTTTTCTGGCGGTTTGCCTAATTGCCGCTTTCCTGCACGAAAGGTGAGTAGCTTGCCACATAAATATGTCAGTGTGGTGACGCCATCACCCAAAAATGAAAATAAAATAGGTCAATCCAATCTCAGTAACACTAGTTGGTTAAAAAAACCCAGTCCAGATCAAAAGGAACACTTACGATTTCGCTTCTCTCTTGAACACCTCCTAACTGAGACTATTCCAAAGTTTCTGAGAGACCTGAGACACAACACCCAAACGCGAGAATTAGGTACAAGTATAAGATTTAACTGGCAATCACAAGGAAAGAATTCATATTCAGACTGAGAAAAGAAGTTAAAAGATGAGCACTGTCGATCTCCTCTCTGTTTCAGTGACGCTTGGCGTCGTCGTCGTCGTCGACGAAGCGAGGCGAGCGGTGGTGGCGAGGCGAGCGTTGGCAGTGGGATGGAGAGAAAGAGAGGAAAGAAGCCAGAGAATAACATGGATATTGACCTGGGAACTGAGCTCCAAGATCAGGAAAATGAACATTTTCACCATGATGACGAATTCGAGGACGTTTATTAACATCAATGTCTTGAAAAACTTGTCATTAAATAAAAGCGACACCTCGGGCAAACTGTGTTTGTTTGTGTTTTAATGAAATTGAAAAAGGACCTCAATGAGGTTTTACCCTTCGTGTTAGTCTTCACTTAATGATCAGCACACAAAAACACCGCAAGGAAGTTTATCTAGGACAAAATTACAAACACCCTTCAGTTTGCCACCTTGATCAACTTAGGAAGATGGCTAACTCTGAGAAGAAAACACAAGAAGAGATCTTCTCTCCTTGGAATACCCTCGCAATCTTTCTTCACCAGTTGTTGCTTGTGAAACAGCTTTTTCTACTTGTTATAAAATTCTCTCTGACTAAGTTTATTGCTGAGGCGTTTCTTCCCAGAAATAGATCAATACTTGAAAATCGTGCTTATGGCCAGGTCCCAAAAAGTGGTAATTAGCAACGAAAGAAAGAAATTAAGTAAAACGATTGAAGTGAGGTGAGCTCCGAAATCTGTAAGATAAGGTCATCGGAATACGAAGCAAATATTTATTTAAACAGACTGGGTCTTGAACCAGTTCAGTTTCTACAGAGTCGAGGCTTTGCTGCAGAAACACGTTAGTTACACACACATTTTGAACGAATTGAAATCAACACTTCTTCAGATATTTAGTTTTTTCGTGTTTATGAGTGAAAACGCAGCCAAAAGTGGGATCAAACGCATTTCAATCATCTGGCCAACTGGGAAAGAAGAGTGAACACCGTGGGTAACCTCTACCGCACGTGATCCCTACCCACGTGGCTTAAACCTTTACACCCTGACGTCAGTATGTATATTTTCCATATTGTTCTCTAAACATTTCCTAAGGTGCCAACAAGGAGAATTTGTCTAACAATCAAGAGCTTCTACAGTTGGTGACATTTCCTTTATTCTCCTTATCTCAATGTTTCATTCAGGGGTGATACGGTAAGAAGATATTTGATGCCAGTCACTCTTAGAGGTTAAAGCGCAAAACGAGCAGACCTGTTATTAAACAAAGGGGTTGGTTTCTAAACTGCGGTTCTGTATCAGTTGATGTCAATTGGCCACCGTAAGAGTTTCTGACGCGGACGTTTTGGGCTTTGGCCCTAAGTAAGAGCGAATGGAGCAAACCTGCTCTTGGCCCGCAATGTTTGTACGAAAAGGGATATAGGAAGTTTTTCTGACGGTGTTTTAATTCAGTGATACACAAGTCAGTCTTTGCTTATGTACATCAATAACACGACTATTTAACAGGAAGAGTAGGGACATTGCCAACTAATGTCGTACGGTA